CTGTCTGTCTGTATGTCTGTATGTCTGTCTGTGTGTCTGTCTGCCTGTCTGTATGTCTGTCTGCCTGTGTGTTCCAGTAATCTAATTATTATCGGTACTTATTTCATCCTGATTATTAAATACCCTGACGAAAACCTAAACTAATCTTATCTGATTTAACCTAATTAATTTAACCTAACCTAACCTAACCTAACCTAGCCTAACCTAACCTAACCTAACCTAACCTATTGCTTACATTGTAATTAAAGCATTAGATCTTCCTTCCTCCCTTCCTTCTTTCGGGTATACACGCATGTATATAATGAAAATGTATGTTTTTATGTATATACTTGTATGTATATATGTATGTATGTATGTATGTATGTATGTATGTATGTATTTATGTACAGGTACCTACCTACCTACCTACCTACCTACCTACCTACCTACCTACCTACCCCTATAAAAGTAAGCAGAGAGACTTTCTTGTTGATCGTGTTCAATTGACACATTAACAAACAGACAAACAGGTAAACATATAAGTTAAACCACACCGGGAAGGTAAACAACAGACTGTGTTGTGTGTCGTCATAAGGAGGCGAGTCTTACAATGATGGTGACTTTGAATTATTACTCCAGCAACGTAATTTTCTATTTATGTCCCGCTCCGAGTAACACTGGGGTGGCTGGGTGTTTAAGTGTTGTAATGGATCACCAACACTCGTCGCTGGGTGTAAGAGGGATAGGTACGGAGATAAATATTATACCATGATAAGTTAACGTTAAAATAGCGAAAGAGTATCATGTTCATTCATCATCGAGTCAGAACAACACTCAGCTACCATATTCATTTCATCTTTTTTGTTGTTACTTTTCATATCATATTTGTGTGGTTCTTCTCGTGCTGTTACCATTAGTCAATACCTTATAGTTGTTGATGTGTGAAAGGAACAGTAATCACGTTTATTGACCTTCTGGAAATTGTCTAGATCCATTTGAAATTATTAGTACGTATAAGGATGTTTGTTATAGTGAATGTTTATTGGGAGACATACACAATTAGTTAAGTCAATAATACATATGACAAACTGAATGGGACCCAACATCTGCCCTACGGTATTCTTCTTAGCAGCCCAAGAAATCAGAGTTTACTTGTATCGTCTGTCAAGTAAGAAAGATGAAATCCTCTGGTGTATTCGTACGGTAAAATGATAGCTGATGAAGTGATGAGCTTGATAAACAAGCATTGGTGAGGAAAGCTTACCGAATGTCAGAGAACAGCAAGTTGTTATGTTATTCCTCTTCGAGTCCATTATTCGCTCTCTATGTTCAGCACCTTCAGGAGTTGTAGCATAGTGGGTTCTGTTGCTTGTAATACCGTGTTGTTTGTTGTTTAACGCCTTCACTACGGGAAGCTACTTTTAGTATTTTATTGGACTAATGCCAGACTATTTTATTCAGGGCAGAGAATTTAATTATTTTTACTTTTGCCACTTACATCAGCTAGTTTATTGTGCACTCCATACTCAGCAGATGAGCAGTAGCGCAAAAGTATTACAGAGTAGAGTTCACAAAGGGTCAGTATAACTTATCTCCGTGGTCAGGATATTATGGCATTGAATGTTATACAGTATTTCAGATACATTCTTTGTTTAATTCTATACATGGGGGTAACTTATTCACACCTGCGTGAGTACAGGAGTGTGAGGTAGTATGTCTGGCCGCACACTGTTATTAACACCTGCGTGAGTACAGGAGTGTGAGGCAGTACGTCTGGCCACACACTTTGTTATTAACACCTGCGTGAGTACAGCAGTGTGAGGCAGTATGTCTGGCCACACACTTTGTTATTAACACCTGCGTGAGTACAGCAGCGTGAGGCAGTATGTCTGGCTGCACACTTTGTTATTAACATTTGCGTGAGTACAGCAGTGTGAGGCAGTATGTCTGGCTGCACACTCTGTTATTCACATTTGCGTGAGAAGTATTCAAGGACATTGTGTGTTTGGTTCTATACATGTAAAATGATATAGCTAATGAGTGCAAATAAGTGGATACATTCCTACTATGTCGGCTATCTTGCCATTAGAGATAAAGTGTTGTGCTATTTTACACACAGTGTGCTTGGATCTGTTCCTAATTTTCACACTGTCAAGGACGTCGTGTTCGAGTGTGTGGCCATATGTCTGACCACACATTATTACAGTAGTCTTGTTCACATCTGCTTGAGGGATATAGTGCCAGAAGTCCTTGCATCCTAAACCTTAGTCTAGCGGTTACACCATCTTGTAATCTAGTGTTCCCGTTATTTACTCCATATACTGTACATGTTTCACATGATACATCTCTTCATGGTAAATAATGGATTGACTATTGTCTGTTTGCACTTCGTCTGCTGGCTTCAAATTCATCAACAAATTCTTTCCTAATTACAGTTTAATTTATTTTTATTTATTTTTTGTTTTACAGGCAAAAGTTGCATTCAACGTTGTCTTTGTTAGACGCGAGTTTGGCGAGGGCATCAACTTTCATGTTCTTCCAGGCCTATGAGAGAGGGGATCTTGACATCCCCATCAACAAGGTACGCATATTTGTGTCTACCTTCAGAGACAAGCGCGTATAAACTTAAGTTGAGGGTGTTAAGGGCAAGTAATGAGGATGGAGAATCAGTGATGATGAGACTGTCAGTGATAGAAGTTTCAATAAGTTTAACGGCTGTGAGTATGGCAAATAATTCAGTTTGTAGAGTGGATGCCCAGTTGTTAATTGTTACTCCTTTCTCAATTGTATTACCATTAGGTTGAGTCACAATGACGGTGCTTCCAGCCCTCCCACAGGCAGTGTTAAGAGATGAATCAGTTTAGATGTTATCATCAGTCTGTAGGGTGTGTATGTGTTCAAGAACTCTCACTTTGGCAGTGTGTTGGAGATAAATGCTTCCGTAATTCATCGTTTAGGCGGATATGTCGGTATTGATGTATTAACCCCTGCCACACAGACAGTAGTAAATGTGGGCTACATACATTATGTTTATATTATTCCATCACCCACGGTAACTAGACCATGAGCCGTGAGTAGTCACAATTATAGTTACGAAAATGTGTTCCTATACCCTATGTGGTAACCTGTGTCTCCAAGTGATCAACCTATATGGCTTAAAGCAAACCTATCCACCAATCACGCCCGTCGTTACACAACCAATACGCCATTCATTCATACAGTAAATGGTGATACTACTACTGTGACGTTGCGGTTTGGAGACACGGGTTGCCGCAAGAGGTGTAGGAACACATTTTAGCAACTGTACATGTGACTCTTTTTCCACTGACCTCTCCCGCTGCTTGAAAGAATGGGTCGGCAATTAAGTTGCCGGCTTCTAGCCAGTCTGTACCTGTCTCTCACCCATGTCAAACGTGTGTTCACGAAGCTCGTTACACATATGTTTCATCCTTATTAATGCCCACAGCTCATAGCGTTATTTACGGTGATATCTTAGTTATTGTGCAATAGTTTATTTTTCTAATAAATGGAGAAAAATCTTTCGGGGTTGAAAACTTAACCCATAAACATTTGTTTATGTTACTTCTTGTGTACCTTTAATACTGACTCTACTGACTCTTCACCAGTGATTACAACAGGTAAATGGAAGGTAACATATTGATGATATCGAAGGGAACTGTCCAGATGGTCTAGTCCAAACAACTTCATATGTTGGAACAATCTGCCAGAGAGTGTGGTGAAGGCACCGAGTGTGAGCTCTTTCAAGACCAGACTTGACCAACACTGGAGCAGGTTCTGATACATTCAGGAGCCGGTACATGCCCAGTACTTGCCAACAGTGCGTAACAGAGACGTAACCCATCGACCAAGTGGCTAACGAGCACGATCAGTAGTGAAGAGGATAAAAGTATAAAGTTATGTTTTACCCACCGTGTGTTCACTAACGAGACATTAAAACAATATCTTAACATCAACAGAAAACGGCTGAGGAGTAAATATTGTAACCCCTGTCAGACTCCCGCTAGGCACTAAATTGACCAAAACAACAATGATTATACAAACACACCGTGATATACCTTCATGCAACGGGATCTTATAAAATGTCATTCATAAGTGAAATGTTGAAGATTAATAAAAAAGCGCCAAAACTTTCAAATAATAAAGACTAAGTTTATTTTATTTTGATGAAAGGTTTTTAGAAGAGGATTTTTAGAAGACTCACCAAGATTGGAACAGTTACGAAAGGAGAGAGAGAGAGAGAGAGAGAGAGAGAGAGAGAGGACACTGAATAAACAGGAGATCGATAAAAGGTACAGAAACACACAAACTGAATTAATCTCATTCGACTCATAACTTGTTCGACTCACAACCAGTACACGTACTCACAGACTCACAACCAATACACGTACTCACAGACTCACAACCAATACATGTACTCACAGACTCACAACCAATACACGTACTCACAGACTCACAACCAATACACGTACTCACAGACTCACAACCAATACACGTACTCACAGACTCACAACCAATACACGTACTCACAGACTCACAACCAATACACGTACTCACAGACTCACAACCAATACACGTACTCACAGACTCACAACCAATACACGTACTCACTGACTCACAAACTAACATACCACAGACTCACAAATCAATACACGTACTCACAGACTCACAACCAATACACGTACTCACAGACTCACAACCAATACACGTACTCACAGACTCACAACCAATACACGTACTCACTGACTCACAACCAATACACGTACTCACAGACTCACAACCAATACATGTACTCACAGACTCACAACCAGTACACATACTCACAACCAATACACGTACTCACAGACTCACAACCAATACACGTACTCACAGACTCACAACCAATACACGTACTCACAGACTCACAACCAGTACACGTACTCACTGACTCACTGCATCAGATATAGAATTAAATGGCTATATGACTTGGTAATAAAAGTGACTTATAAATGACGAAAAGTAAAATTAAAACTAAGTAACTAAAACGATAAATTAAGTAACACAAAGTAACAAAAACACTATAGTAAAAAAACCCCACTACTTAATACACTTAATACACTTATACTTAAAGGAAATTACATAAAATACGTATCTTTATTAAATATTTATTCGAAATACATAAGTGTAGAGGAACAGCGCACTTATTATCCCGAGTGTTCTTTCTGCACCTGTGAAGGAAGATATTAATTAGCAATATCAGGTGAGGGAGGGAGGGAGGGAGATAGAGGGAGAGGAAGGGAGGGAGGGAGGGAGATACAGGGAGAGGAAGGGAGGGAAGGAGTAAATGCAGAGGAGACTAGGGTGGGAGGGAAGGGGAGAAAGGGAGAGGGAGGGAGTATCACAACTGTCCATCATTACTCACCTCACCATCAAGGGAGCTTAGCGACCGTAACCATATCCACCACCATAGCCGCGTCCATAACCACCACCGTAGCCATCATATCCACCTCCATAACCACCATATCCGCCATTTCCACCGCCGTAGCCACCATATCCACCACCATAGCCGCCATATCCACTACCGTAGCCGCCATATCCACTACCGTAGCCGCCATATCCACCACCGTAGCCGCCTCTTCCATATCCACCACCGTAGCCGCCTCTTCCATATCCACCACCGTAGCCGCCTCTCCCATATCCACCATAGCCTCCACTATAACCACCGCCGTATCCACCATAACCGCCACCATGTCCACCGCCATAGCCGCCATAGCTTTGACTTGAGGGTGAGGCTTCAGGGGCGGCTAGGACGACTACCAGGAGGCCAGCCGCCACCGCCATCGTCACCTGTAACACATGTAAACTGTAACTTGGTATTCATAACTGTATTATAACCCCGACTTACTGTAACTTAACTGTACCTGTTTGTTTGATGAGTTACAGTAAAGGTGGTGAAGTCTTGTACATTGGTGAAGTTGTTTTCAAGAGGTGCTTAGAATTAAACTCTTTAGTGGGATGACTTAACCCTTTGAGTAAGATGACTTAACCCCTTAACTAGGATGACTTAACCCCTTGATTGAGATGACTTAACCCCTTGATTAAGATGACGTAACCCCTTGAGTGAAATGACTTCGTACTCAGGAGGCACCTGTCTTGTAGCTGAGTGTGTCTTGTTAGTCAGGTAGATAGTGGTGGTCATATCGATTTGTGTACAGGTAACCTCAAGCTCCCAGGTGGGTCACTAAGTCCAGACCAGAAGATATACAGACAGACGGGTGTTCTAAGTTCCCTGAGTCAAGTTTAAATGGAGAGATCTTATGATCAATCAATATCACTTTGATGACTTGATGTTATACTCACTTTATGTACTTAAGAATGGATATCGACCATTATATAAGTGGATATATAGATGGATGTTATTAAGTAATTCAAGTGATGTAGATGAGTGTTAAGATGTAGTGTTAAGACAGCCAGGTGCTACCTCAGCCTCCTAACAACAGTCGCTGCGTCACTTACAGTTCTGGAGATCATGTTGGCGTCTTGCAGAGAGTCACAGTTGACAATGTCCGCCATCACTCCCCGCCACACCTTATATACCGCCAGCTGGAGTACCACAAGGCGGCCCGCGGTCACCACATATATAATTACTCATAAGTTCACCTCATGTTGCGCAGTTCACAGTGTTTTTGTGGGAGTTATAACGACTTGTTAAAAATAACAAGTGTAGTCCAAAATTTCCAACTGACTCACACGATCCCATGTTTGTCACGTTGCTGATTAAGACTTAAAATATCACTGATTTTTGGCCAAATAAGGGATAAATTTTTTGTTTTTATTGCGATAACTTAATGGATATTAATTGGGTATAATATTATTATTTTATGACCATCTTTCTAAAGCTTAATATGCGTGTAACCCTATTTAACGACACACACACACACACACACATCACCTTGACTTCTTCCGATTTTGTGTGATACAAACAACGTGAACATTTCTACAGTCTACTTGATAGTGACGTCACAAGGCTACATATAGAAAGTCTTTATTCTCATCCTCTCCACAACACCTGTCATCTACTGCATCACAAACTATGAACAACTGTACATAACCTCAATAGGGTGATGGTTGGGTCTCGTAAGCTCCCGCCAATGATGTGTCTAGTGGTAGGCGGGGCTGGCTGGCTGAGACGTAGGGTAGGTCTGTGTTTTTTCATAGCGTTAGAGCGTATAGTCTATAGTTAAAGTAAGCTGGGGTACTAATCTTCATGTGGTCTAATATTTCATATATTTTCATCTAATTATGATAATATGGTTTATATGCTAAATTGTATTCATACTGAAGATAAATTTTGTTGTCTTGTCATCTCACACTCTTGAGATACCATGTTGTGTCGGAAGCTCACACCACTAAGATAATTTTTTGTGTTGTAAAGTTATACCATAAGACGAAGATTATGGTATATATTTAACACACCAGACCAAAAAGGTGTTATTGGTAACACCATTCCACACCACCGGAAGTGTAGGATTATTTATGTCAAGAAAGTTATAGCTGACGTGAGTACAGACGACCCACTTCTCACTTTCTCACACACACACACACACACACACACACACACAACAACTACTACTCTACTACTTTTGCTGTCACTCGGAATCAAGTATGATGATCATCCAGCTATGATTCAATGATATGAGTTATTAAGGATGTCACCTAGGTTGGTGGATTCTGAGGTGACTAAAGAGGCCGATACGGGAGGCAGGGTCGATCACAGATGTTGCACATGTGGAGGGCTACATCTAGTGTGGGGTCGGCGGCGGCAGCGTCTTTCCGGCGTTGGCGCTTGTCTGCCTCGTTATGCAGTTGGGCTAATTCGAAAGTATTGACACCTTCTCGTGTGGTGCTCCTCCAAGCGTTAAGGTGTGGAGTAATCGTCTCCCATGTACCAAATTTTATGTAACAAATTACTCTTTTATTGTCTTTTTAATTCTTTATATTTATTTATTTATTTGCTTATTCTTACTTCTTTCACTTACTCTTATTCTTTCTTTTATTTATTCCTGCTATTCTTTCTCGTTATACTCGTGAGAGGTGGAGAGGGTGAAGGAGGTAATTGTTAATGGTTGCTGGTCGGCTGGTGATATAGGCTTTCAGTTGGCCCTCCCACACACACCAGCCAGGGAAGACTCGGGGGAGCTGGTTAGAGGGACTAAGATACAATACTTCACAGAGGGTAAATATAGGATAGTTATTGTATATAGGACTCACCGTAGTACTGCATAATACCAAGACATTTATCACACATCAACCTTTCTTAATAAGGGAGGGATGAATTGGGACTCTTATTAACGTTACTGTATTTATTGAATACATTATATTAGGGTTTAACAGTTACACTTCAAAATAATAAACCTATGTTCCTAGCTAGTTAAACGGGGACCACGTATCTCACAACAAAGGGGAACTTAAGGATTTACCAAATAGAATGCACCCAAATACCTGCCATGTGGCCACCAAAGACGTCCCACACCTCCCTACACAAAATTCCAACATACGTAGACTCTGCTATTCAAACTGCGTCAGCCCATAAGGGAAGTCACAACTTTCATGACGTCAAGCCTCATAGGCTTTCTCATTGGTCAAAGACAGGCCTAAGGCCTTCATACTATTGGCTCGAAATTGGCGGGAACTCTCAGGTGGCGGGAAACTCATGACGTTGTTACACCCAGGTGAGGGGGTCGATTTGGCATTTTTTCAGGTTTGTCTTAAGACTATCCTTATACCTTTTCAGTTGCTCGCCAGCGTTACGTTTACTATTCGTTTGGTGACTGTAAAGTAGCTGCTTTGGCAGTCTACTGTAGTCCGTGCGGGTAACATGGCCAGTCCAGCGTAGTTGTTCATGGATAATGGTATCCACGATGCTCCTACAGTTGGTGTCAGCAAGAACACTGGCATTTGTTCTCTTGTCTTCCCAGCGAACTCGGAGGATGGAACGTAGACTAAGTTGGTGAAAGCTTGGCATAGAAATAAGAGACGTTCATCGGTTTTGAATAAATTCTGTGGATCAACGAAGGAAATAAAAAATACTTTAAAGTTTTAAAGAAAACTGAGCAGAAAAATGACTTAGAGAGTTGGGTATTTAATCATAATCAACATTTAGTGTACATAAATTAATATAATTAGAATATGTATATTTCCTACATATTTCATAGAATAAATAAATGTTTAAATGCTTTTGCTTTTTGTTCTACCTTTATCGTGTTGTTGATAGATATATTGAAGGAACACCAATTCCCTTCTCTTGATTAATATTTTTTTCTTAGTATTTTAGAAGTGATAAACAGTATAAATATTATATTGTTTATTTTGTTTATATAATCGACAAACAAGATACGGACAAACACCCAGTAAACAACAAACTTAAAGAAACTATATGATGTATTAAGAAAAATATATATATAAATTACAGTATTCAGAAAGAAGGATAAATTGGGATGTGTCAGTGAGGGTATGTTTGGGATGTGTTAGTGAGGGTATGTTTGGGATGTGTTAGTGAGGGTATGTTTGGGATGTGTTAGTGAGGGTATGTTTGGGATGTGTTAGTGAGGGTATGTTTGGGATGTATCAGTGAGGGTATGTTTGGGATGTGTTAGTGTGGGTATGTTTGGGATGTGTTAGTTATAGTGTGTCTGGGATACGCGATGTGCTTCAGTGTGAAGTAGTAATATAGTATCAGGGTCGTTCTGTTGATTAGTTAACGACCATAACCATATCCTCCATATCCACCACCATATCCGCCGTAGCCGCCACCATAACCTCCATAACCACCACCGCGTCCACCACCATATCCACCGCCGCGTCCACCACCATATCCGCCACCATAGCCGCCATAACCTCGACGTGAGGGTGAGGCGTCAGGAAGAGCGAGGGCAGCCACCAGGAGGCCAGCCACAACCATCATCACCACCATCATCTGTAACACAAAATACTTTATATCAAGTTTTGGTCAGTAGACGAAATATCATACCAGCAGAGAACAACGACGACATCGACATAGAAAAGGTTTAAAATTTACAAGTTCTCCTCTGTGACAGGAAACTCTGCCTTGAGGGACCTTAACTGTACCCCTCCCACATAATCTTCTACAGGAATGTTCTCAACAGTCTACACATACATTAGATCTCAATGTTATAGGATTGATTGTACAAATTGTTGACCAAATCTGTTTCATCGTCTTTTCTCTTAGTATACAGCTGATCTAAATTCTTCACCCCTTAATATATATGTCAGCTGATCTGTACACACCTTCACCATCACCCACTCACTATAGCCTCATTGTACACACCTTCACCATCACGCACTCACTATAGCCTCATTGTACACACCTTCACCATCACGCACTCACTATAGCCTCATTGTACACACCTTCACCATCACGCACTCACTATAGCCTCATTGTACACACCTTCACCATCACCCACTCACTATAGCCTCATTGTACACACCTTCACCATCACCCACTCACTATAGCCTCCTCAACAACATTGTCTGAGTCTCTTACAGTTTTGGAGATCATGTTGGCGTCCTGCAGGTGTAGTGTTACTAGAGAGTCGCAGTACATAATGCCCGCCATCACCCTTCACTACCTTTATATACCGTCAGCCGGAGTTCCACAAGGCGGCCCTCGGTCATCATCGATAATAATAGACAACTTTTCCAAGAGTTACGCAGTGTTCAGATTATTTGTGTGCTATCTTGATCACTTGTTGAAATTGTCTTCAACTAATATTCATCTGTATCCAATTCCACAATATAGATGATGACTTCGTATTTAATATTATACATACTAACAAGAGGAGTTAGACACTTACATACTTGTATATATGTCTCTCTCTCTCTCTCTCTCTCTCTCTCTCTCTCTCTCTCTCTCTCTCTCTCTCTCTCTCTCTCTCTCTCTCTGGTTCTTGTTGAAGTACACACGACACTTGGTTCATAATAATTCATCTAATGTGTCAACTGTGTCCTTCTCCTCAACCTCGGTGAAAGGACGAAAAAATATAGATATAGGGACATTTTCTGCCACCCAAATAGATCATATTGATTCTTAGTGCATCAACACCAGCTAGTCTCACCACAGCATCAACACCAGCTAGTGTCACCACAGCATCAACACCAGCTAGTGTCACCACAGCATCACCACCAGCTAGTGTCACCACAGCATCACCACCAGCTAGTGTCACCACAGCATCACCACCAGCTAGTGTCACCACAGCATCAACACCAGCTAGTGTCACCACAGCATCACCACCAGCTAGTGTCACCACAGCATCACCACCAGCTAGTGTCACCACAGCATCACCACCAGCTAGTCTCACCACAGCATCACCACCAGCTAGTGTCAACACAGCATCACCACCAGCTAGTATCACCACAGCATCACCATAGCTAGTGTCACACAGCATCACCACCAGCTAGTGTCACCACAGCATCACCACCAGCTAGTGTCAACACAGCATCACCACCAGCTAGTGTCACCACAGCATCACCACCAGCTAGGTGTCACCACAGCATCACCACCAGCTAGTGTCACCACAGCATCACCACCAGCTAGTGTCACCACAGCATCACCACCAGCTAGTGTCACCACAGCATCACCACCAGCTAGTGTCACCACAGCATCACCACCAGCTAGTGTCACCACAGCATCACCACCAGCTAGTGTCACCACAGCATCACCACCAGCTAGTGTCACCACAGCATCACCACCAGCTAGTGTCACCACAGCATCACCACCAGCTAGTGTCACCACAGCATCACCACCAGCTAGTGTCACCACAGCATCACCACCAGCTAGTGTCACCACAGCATCACCACCAGCTAGTGTCACCACAGCATCACCACCAGCTAGTGTCACCACAGCATCACCAGCCAGTGTCACTCACAGCATCACCACCAGCTAGTGTCACCACATCATCACCACCAGCCAGTGTCAACACAGCATCACCACCAGCTAGCAAGTGTCAACACAGCATCACCACCGCCCAGTGTCAACACAGCATCACCACCAGCCAGTGTCAACACAGCATCACCAGCTATAGTCACCACATCATCACCACCAGCCAGTGTCACCGCTGGCATCACCACCAGCCAGTGTCAACACAGCATCACCACTCAGCCAGTGTCACCACAGCATCGCCCACCAGCCAGTGTCAACACAGCATCACCACCAGCCAGGTGTCAACACAGCATCACCACCAGCTAGTGTCACCACAGCATCACCACCAGCTAGTGTCACCACAGCATCACCACCAGCTAGTGTCAACACAGCATCACCACCAGCTAGTGTCACCACAGCATCACCACCAGCTAGTGTCACCACAGCATCACCACCAGCTAGTGTCACCACAGCATCACCATCAGCTAGTGTCACCACAGCATCACCATCAGCTAGTGTCAACACAGCATCACCATCAGCTACATCAACTATTCACCAGCTATACTAACAGGAATTTAATTCTCTCTCTCAACTGTCTCTCAAGTCTCTCTCAAGTGGTTCTCAAGTGGCTCTCAAGTGGCTCTCAAGTGTCTCTCAAATTTCTCTCAAGTCTCTCTTAAATCTCTCACAAGTCTTTCTCAACTGCCTCTCAAGTCTACAGTAAATCAAGTGTCTCTCAAGTGTCTCTCAAGTCACAATCAAGTGTCTCTCAACTGTCTCTGAAGTGTCTCTCAAGTCTCAACTTATTAAGAGACTATCTCGACAGCCTTATCGTATTCTTCTGCTATCAAGGCATAGTCTGTGTGTGTGTGTGTGTGTGTGTGTGTGTGTGTGTGTGTGTGTGTGTGTGTGTGTGTGTGTGCGTGTGTGTGCGTGTGTTCCTAATTTCGTGATGTTGTGAAAGTGGAAAGTGTAGAGGAAAAGGAAAGAAAGAAAGATTGAGGAGAAAGGAGAAGGAGGAGGAGGAGGAGGAGGAGGAGGAGGAGGAAAATAGTGTTCACAGGTGTGGTAATCAAGACACGGTAATCACTCTGAGGGAACTGTTTACCTGTGATCAAGAATCTTAGAATCTTAGCAAAACACTTGATGGAAGGTAATTGTGCTGTTGGTGGTGGTAGTGGGTCGTGGTAGTGGATGATGGTAGTGGGTGTTATTGATGGATGACTATTTTAGGTCAATAGTGGTTGGCAATATTAATGGATGATTGTTACAGGCAATCAATAGTAGTAGATGCTGTTGGTAGATGTTGTTAATGGATCGTTGTTGTCAATTGGTGGGGGTAGGTAAGTAGTAGATAATGTTGCTGATTGCTATTTTACGCAGGTGAGGGCAGGTGTTGGTTAGTGGAGGTAAGTGTTGGTAGATATAGTCAAGTAATTGGTGGTGGTGGTAGTGCAGGGTTGTTGTGGTAGTGGTTTAATAATGTAAGTAGGTAATGGTGGTAGTTGTAATGGTAGATGGTAAAGAAAAGGAGATACTGGTAGATTCTGATTGTGGTTAAAAGTATACTGGTAGCAGTGTGTGGTTGGTGGTTGACTGCCATTTCACAACACCGACATGCAAGGAACTCAAAAATAATTGTCTTCATTCTAAGGAAATTCTCAAACGTTACAACGCGTTTAAGATCAAATTGAACTTCTTGTAAACATTGCATTAAGAATCCAGAGATATATTTGTCCACTTGTAGCTCCTTTACGTGGTAGTAGTGATAAATGAGCATCAATATACAGGTTGTGAGTTTGGCAATAACTATCACACATTGACTCATCAAATTGTTTGTTAATACCCAGCAACCTGAGAATAGTGACGGTAGTACGTGTTGTGAGACAAACCTTAAATTCTTCAGTAAACACGTGTGTCGTAAGTTCACACACACACACACACAAATAAATGACGTTTTTGTGTTGGTTAGGTTAGGTTTTGTCGGTAACTATTTATTTACATGTATTTTTTATGATCTATATGCTCACTTAAGGTCAGTCAGAGGTTCACAAAAATAAACATATAGAAGTTCTTGTGTGTATGTGTGTGTCTCTCTCTCTCTCTCTCTCCTCAAGTTTCAGAAAACATTTATAAGGGTTAAATCATGAACAAAAATCCTATAAATTTGTCATTCTTTATTTTGAATACATTAAATCGGACGCCCAGGTTACCTCTGCACCACTACTGAGTCTCTGTAAACAGGACGTAAACAAGATTATACAAAATGTAAACAATATGTAAACACTGTACAATTTACACCCTGTACTACAACATTTACAACAGATGGGGAACTTTTTGGGGATATTTTTATTTTTATTATTTTTTATCGAATTAAGTTATTGTATTAAGTTAGGTTAGGTTAGGTTAGGTTAGGTTAGGTTAGGTTAGGTTACCTTACCTGTCTCAACATTACCTCAGCGCCCGTAGCCATATCCACCTCCATACCCGTAGCCACCGCCGTAGCCTCTTCCATAACCACCTCCATAGCCACCTCCATAACCGCCAAATCCACGACGAAACCCGCCAAATCCACGACCAAAACCGCCAAATCCACTAAATCCACCGTAGCTGCTTCCATAGCCACCATATCCACCACGACCATATCCACCATAGACGCCACCGCCATAGCCACCATAACCACCGCCATAGCCACGATAACCACCGCCATAGCCACGATAACCACCTCCATAGCCACCATAGCCGCCTGAGGGTGAAGCTTCAGGGTTGGCTAGAGAGACCACCAGTTGGCCAGCCATTACCACCATCATCTGCAACACAAAGCAACATTTTTACTAACGCAATATTTTTACCAACATCAACACACAGAAGATATAAATAATAGATTGATAAAAACGAGGTTAAAATAATCGGAGTGAAAAGTTCGTTCCCTCTCAGTCTGAAGCGGTATCGACCCCCTAGTGAGATTAAATAACACACCCGCACCAAATGACAATCTGGGTTAGTCAGTTCGAAGATTCATTCCCGTGACTCAGTTTCATTCACTACAGGGAGGGAAATTTTGTCCGATACTGTAGAACATAGTAAATTAAATAAAAAAAATAAATGAATAAGAACACGGAAATTCATATATTCAGTAAGATGATTTGATTTTATGAATTAAGAAGCGAACTTATGAATAAAGGTCATTCAATTTTTCTCAGGAATTTGTATTTAATAGATTAATGATGGTAAAAGGGTGATGAAATTATTTTTCATCCAACTCTAAGTTTTAGGATAATATTCGTAAAAAAAAAATGAATCCTGGTATAATTTTTCTTATTTCGTATTTAACTTTATACGTAGCATAACCTCTACTGATCTAGACCAAGATGATATTAATTCCCTCTAATATAATAAAATAGTCTTAAAATTACTATAAAATTGTGACCATGTATAGATTATCCCCCCCTATATAGTCCCAGTACAATATAGTTCTACCTTAGCTATACCAAACAACAATGGCTATGATATAACTCACAGCTTTGGGGATCATTGTATAGCTCCTACAGGTGTTCTTACTCCTATCAAGTCTCAGCACACACTGTCCACCATCACTCCTTCACGTACCTTAAATACTCGCCAACAGCTCATCTGGTTTCTGGGCGTCAACCACTAATTACCAGCAGGTGTATACACAGAGGTGGTCTCGGGGAATTAACTCCTATATGAGAGGTGTTAATAGTATAGGAGACTCTGTCGATACGAGTCATGTAGGGTATCGTCATAATACCTGTGTGGTCTGCAATGTTTTTCCATCTTAAGAAATACCTGTATGGTCTTTAACAAAAATGACTAACTCTTGTTGTTAACCCTTTGAGGATGACAGGGTTAAACTATCGTCCTTGAAAGGTTAAACTATCGACCCTCAAGGGTTAAATTATCGTCCCTCGAGGGTTAAATTATCGTCCTTCAAAGGTTAAGCTATCGTCCCTCAAAGGTTAAATTATCGACCCTCAAGGGTTAAACTATCGTCCCTCGATGGTTAAACTATCGTCCTTCAAAGGTTAAACTATCTTCCCTCAAGTGTAAAACCATGATCCTCAAAGGATTAACCCATCAACCTCAAAGGGTTAAACCATCCTCCTCACAAGGTTAAAATTATCGTCTTTAAAGGGTTAAACCATCATCCTCAAAGGGTTAAACCTTCATCCCCACAAGGTTAAAATCATCGTCTTCAAAGGGCTAAACCACCATCTTCAAAGGAGTTAACCCATCATCATCATCATCATCATCATAGGGTTAAACCACTGTCCTCAAAGGTTTGAAGCATCGTCCCCCTAAGGACTTAACTCATAGGTTTGACCAGTTTAACCTTGGGTAGGTTTTGTAAAGTTCGTTTATCTTAACCAAGGTTAGGTTTAAGTTAGATTAAGCTTGGTTAGGTTAGGTTAAGTAAAGTTAGGTTAGGTTATGTTGGGGCTCAGAAAAAAATTCTGTGTGTGTGTGTGTGTGTGTGTGTGTGTGTGTGTGTGTGTGTGTGAGCCCCCTCCGCTCATCTGACGGTAACCTCATAATTATAGACGATGAAGGCCTCCTTCAGCGCTGGAAAGAGCTCTACTATTCATTGCTCAACCAAAACACCGATGTGGATGTCCTGACTACCCAGCAGGTCCCTCAGCATCCAGAGTTGACCCACCTCAGCTATCATCCATCCCTGGATGAGGTAGCTACTGCCATCAAACAGATGAAAAATAACAGAGCCTCAGGGCCTGATGGAATCCATGCCGAGGTGTATAAAGCAGGAGGACCTCTGTTTACCAGTATTCTTGCTGACACCAACTGTAGGAGCATCGAGGCTACCATTATCCATGAACAACTACGTTGGACTGGCCATGTTACCCTCATGGACGACAGTAGACTGTCAAACCAGCTACTTACAATCACCAAGCGAATAGTAAACGTAACGCCGGCGGGCAATTGAAAAGGTATAAGGATAGTCTTAAGACAAACCTGAAAAAGTGCCAAATCGACCCCCTCACCTGGGAGACGATTACTCCACACCGTAACGCTTGGAGGAGCACCACACGAGAAGGTGCCAATACTTTCGAGTTAGCCCAACTGCAAACCGAGGCAGACAAGCGCCAACGCCGGAAAGACGCTGCCGCCGCCCCTCCCGCAGTAGATGAAGCCATCCACATGTGCAACGAACGTGAACGAAGCTGAGTGTCTCGTATTGGTCTCTTTAGTCACCTCAAATCTCACCAACCTAGGTGGCACCCCAAATAACTCATATCATTGTATCATAGCTGGAGGATCGTCATACTCTATTCCGGGTGACAGCAAAAGTAGTAGTAGTAGTAGTAGTAGTGTGTGTGTGTGTGTGTGTGTGTGTGTGTGTGTGTGTGTGGTGCAAGGGCTGTCTTTTCATTATCTGTACGTTAAATTATCTTCACCATACCGCTACGTGATCTTGTCTTCTCTGGCCGAATTTACCACCAACATGAACACCTTTCCTCTGCCCGTGAAGCTTAACATCTTGTTTATGTCTCTCCGTGAAGCTGTATTTTTCTACATCAGTTTCTTTTAAAGTTTGTGTTTGTGTTTCCCAAAGAAAAAGTAATTAATCTAAACGTAATTTTTTTGATCGCTTTGAAAACTTTGTCTCTCGTCATAAACTAAAACCCGGTGAACGTTGCTTGATTAACCTAGCAGCTGTCATACCTAAAACTAAAAAACAAACAAAAAAACAACAACAACAACAACATGCATGTATGTATATAGGGGTGTGTATTTGTGCCTGTGTATTTCTGTATTTGTGTATGTATGTGTGCTTAGGCCTATACTGTACACACATCCTGGGTAGGGTAAAACTATGGGCAAGTTTCTTCACGCCATTACCTTTGTCTACCCATCAGTATTTGGGAACCTGGATGTTACTCGATTGCTGATCGTCTTCTGGGGTAATGGTTAGCCAGTGCAGTTGGTGAGTTGTCCGGTCTTTTTGGATTATTCCTTGACACTGGGTCAGGCAACTCGTTAAATTAGGGTGTGGTGGCTCTTGGGCAGACCATAATCGTACACGAGTGGCAACCATTATATGTATGTATGTATGTATGTATGTATGCATGTATGTATGTATGCATAAGTATTTCTACTACTACTACAACTAGTAATAAAAATAATAATATATTACCTAAGCCACATGACGTAATAAATGTTGACACGCACACATAAATAAACACACATGTCTGCGGTGAGAGAGAGAGAGAGAGAGAGAGAGAGAGAGAGAGAGAGAGAGAGAGTAGCAGCTACCAACACATAACATCAACTTGTTTCTCAATAACCACCACCACAGGTTTCTCTCTGACTCTCAACTTCACACAGGAATAAGTTCAGGTGAGATAATTACAGGTGTTGGGGGTCATTGAGTAACCGTAGGTGCCTTGTGGAACTCGCTACTGAAGGTGTATATATAAGGTAGTGGTGTGTATGATAGTGGACATTATCGACTGTGACCCTCTGGCAGTAGGACCACAAGGATGTTTTCTAAAGTTGTAAGTAATATAGCTGTTGTTATTGAGGAAGTACATTAAATACCTTAACACTATCAAACACGGAAGTACTACATTCTGGGAAGGTATTGGAAGCATAATGTGTTGTCTAATGGTAATGCTGCTATCTGTGACCAAGTCCCAGGTTGATGATCTGACTTCCTGCCTCATTTACACACAATTTCAGGGTCTCAATTGTTTCTCTTACTATTGACAACGCAACATACACATCGTTTCTCACTATTGATCTATTTTTTTTTCATTTCTGAATTTATTTATGGTTCAATTTATTTTACTTTTAATTATTTTTTTGTCCCCACCCCCACCCCCCCCCACACTCCCGGCCCTGATGTGGGTTGGTGACCTGTGCCTGGGTGGGCTAATCCCATACAAAAAACGTAGCCTAACGTAACGTAACCTAAGAAGGATATGTTAATGGACACGTAATTTTACACAGTTGTCTTGTTTTTACAGACAGTGATGGTGGTGATGGTGGTGGTGATGGCTGGCCTCATGGTGACTGTCTTAGCCAATCCGATAGCTTCAGCCTCCGGTACAAGTTATACTGTCCGTCGTATGGGAGTCTATGGCTATGGCGGCCATGGTGGCGGCTATGGTGGCGGCTATGGAAGCGGCTATGGAAGCGGCTATGGAGGCGGTTATGGTGGAAGCTACGGTGGATCTCGCGGCGGCTATGGCAGTGGATATGGAAGCGGTTATGGTGGTGGATATGGTGGCGGTTACCGTGGACTACGTGGCGGTTATGGTGGTGGATATGGTGGCGGCTATGGTAGCGGATCTCGCGGCGGCTCTGGTGGATATGGCGTCAGCTACGGTGGATATGGTGGTCTCCGCGGTGGATTTGGAGGATTTAATAGTGGATATGGTAGTCGACATGGTGGTGGATATGGCGGATATGGTATCAGTTATTCAGTCAGTCACCGTGGTGGATATGGGTCAGGAGGCTATGGCTATGGGCGCTGAGGTCACGGTAGGTCATGCTGGGTCATGTGGTGTTATGGTCTTTATTTTATTTTGGTCACGTGAATTTATTAAGTTTCTTTCTTGCTTCAATGTAAACACAAGATACTACTACTACTACTACTACTACTACTACTACTACTACTACTACTACTACTACTACTACTACTACTACTACGACTACGACTACGACTACTACAACTACTACTACTACTAATAATAACAATAATAACAATGAATTAAGATACGATGAAGTGAATATCCCAGCAGAGAACAGTGCCTGTCAGTGTATACAGATTTAAGGAATAAATAAATTATCCCCAAAATAAAAAACGATCGCTTAATTTTCTAAACCTAAAGGTAACTAAAGTATATTGATATAATAATAAATAGAGGAACCTGCCTGGTGTGTGTGTGTGTGTGTGTGTGTGTGTGTGTGTGTGTGTTTTATATCTTCTAACCAAGTTTAAGAGGTCCTTGGATTCTTGCTTTACTTTATCTATTGTAAGGGGGGTAGGGGCGGAGGAAGAGTGGGAGGCGGAGGAACAAGAGGAGGAGGAGGAGGAGGAAGAGGAGGAGGAGGAGGAGGAGAAATCACAAGATCAATTTCTACTACTTTTTATCTCGAAGTGAAATGTATTACCTTTATGTGTGATGAAATAAGACAGGTATAATTATGTTGAAATAAGAATGACACGAAAAAATAAGGATAAAATCGGATGATAAAAAATAAATAAGAATGATATGGTTGAAATAAGGACTATATACAATGAAAAAAGATGATAAACACTGAAATAAGGATTAATCTAATAAAAATTAGAACAAAATTCAGAAACAAAATAATAATTTATGGAAAAAAAATATGAAGTTTCATTTCAAAAGAACATACGAATGGAGAAAACTGCAGCGGGCCTATTGGCCCATAGCTGGGCAGTCCCGTTTACACCCAATCCCTATCGCTCATATATCCGTCCAACCTCTATTTGAAACTACCAAGCGTGTTCGAGTTAATGATGATGTTCGGTAACTTGTTCCACTCTTTCCAAACCAGTGTTTACCAATCAAGCGCCTAAATCTAAATTTGTCTAATTTAAAGCCATTGCTACGAGCTCGTTCCTGGTTTGATATTTTAAGTACCTTTGTTATATCACCTTTTTTTAGCCCTGATTTACATTTATACACCTCGATCATATCGCCCCTCACTCTACGTCTCTCGAGGGAGTGCAAATTAAGATGCTTTAACCTGTCTTGTACTCAAGGTTCCTAATGCCCGGGATTAGTCTTGTCATTCTCCTCTGAATTCTTTCTCAGGATTCTATATCCATTCTGTAGTACGGTGACAAGAACTGAACCGCGTAATCCAGGTGAGGCCTCACAAGTGCAAGACAAAGTTTTAGGATAACCTCGCTAGTCTTGTAACTAACACTCCTTTCTATGAACCCAAGTACCATGCTAGCCTTGTTTCGAGCAAATACACATTGTTTACTTGGTTTAAGATTCTTACTTATTATTACTCCTGAGTCTTTATCACAGTCGTATTTCTCTATAACAACATTGTTCATCTGATATCCGGTTTCTCTGTTTACATCTCTTAGACTAAGTAATTTACATTTGTCCACATTAAATTTCATCTGCCGTTTTTCAGACCATGAGAATTTTTTTTTAGATTTTCTTGTAGTCTTGCGGACTCCTCGTCAGACTTAATTACCCGCCCTATTTTAGTGTCGTCAGCAAATCTACTTATGTTGCGTTTCACGCCTATATCTATGTCATTCATGTATGTAATAAATAGTATTGGTCGAAGTACTGATCCTTGGGGTACTCCATTAGTGACGTTACCACAATTGGATTTTGTGCGATTAAAGCTGACTCTCTATTCCCTGTTCTGTAGCCACGTCCTAATCCAGTTTAGAACATCTCCCGCAATCCCATATACACTCGCACCAAAAAGTATCGGTGCAGGGTGAGATCGACGACTTCCGAAACGATATGTATACACTGTGATATGTCGGGAAGGTTGGTAAGTGTATCCTCATAAACCCCCCACCCCGTCCACTAGGTGTTGTCATATGGCTGACAATCAGTGTGTTTGTTTCCTCTTTTCGGATTGTTGCTTTGTGTCGACTGAATGATGAGCGAGGGTTCGGTCTCGGTGAACGTGGGTACATAACAGAGGCAATATGAAGCAGTAGAGATCTACACATGCCAGACGACATGGAAACCTCAGAGGGAACAAGAGGAGCTATTATTGCCCTTCATAACGAAGGGTTCGGCGTCACAGATATTAGTCGGCGGGTTGGTGTCCACAGGAACACGCTGCACCACCCCTCAGGACGACCAGGTTGAGTGGTTTATATGGTAGCACAAATTATTGTGGCAATATTCACAAGTATCACAAATAACTTTGTTAACAGGGAGCTCCTCATATTTCATACTGTCTATTTATCACATACGGCTGGAACAACTCGCCTTTCCCAATACCTATTGTCACTGGTCTCAAATTGTTCACACTACAGTATGCACCGATACTTTTTGTTGCGAGTGTACGTCCACTTTACGTATTAGCCTTTCGTGGGGAACCCTGTCCAAGGCTTTGCTAAAGTCGAGGTATACCACATCATAATCGTGCCTGTCATCCACTGATTCGAAAACAGTTGAAAAGAATGATAATAGATTTTTCAGACATGAACACCCACTAATGAAGTCATGCTGGGAATCGTTGATAAATTTGTGCTCCTCGAGGTGTTTTCGAATTGAGTTTGAAATTGTTGCTTCCAGTAAATTGCCTACAATTGATGTTAAACTAATTTGACGGTAGTTTTAGGATAGTTATCTATCTCCCTCCTTGAAAATCGTTATCACATTCGCTATCCTCCAGGATTCTGGTACTACACCCGTTTTTAATGGCATGTTAAACAAGTTGCTAAGGGGATACTAAGTTCTTCCTTACATTGCTTTAATCCTCTGGCAAATATCTCATCGGGACCTGGCGACTTATTAGGTTTTAGTTTGTCTATTTGTTTACTAACATAGTTACTAGTTACTACTATCTCGCTTAATTTATTTTCTTCACTATCTTTGTAGATAGTTGGTGCCTCGGGTATCATGTTTAGATTTTCGGTTGTAAAGAGTATTATTGCTTATTTCTTCGTCTTTATCAGTTAGTTCTCCGGTATCTTTTTTTTTTTTTTTTTTTTTTTTTTTTTTTTTTTTTACGGGGAATAGCCGACGTGGGCACAGGTCATCGATCCACAACGGGGCCTAGGGGGCGAAAAAAAAAGAGCAAAACGAAATTAAAAATATAAAAGAAAAAGATTATATTAATCTATACCACGAAGATGCCGGAAAACCATCTTTTTGAAATGAGACAGATTGTATGTGTATTGAAACAGAAGAAGGCAGAGCATTCCACAGTTTGGCTGTGTGAGGAAAGAAGGGTGTACTATAACAAGTTATTCTAGTGTGACCGACATCCACAGAGAAAATGTGGGCACCTTGGGCAAGACGAGTGATACGAGCCCACGGCCTTGCCGACGGTACACAGGATGCCAAATCTAAGATACGTAATTCAACATTCGTGTATTTTGTAAACACGCTCAAGTAGCAGCTTTAATTAAGGTAGGTAATGAAGAACCAACAGTTATTTTAAATTCATATATTTATTCACGACAAGTAAGACAATTGACCAGGTGATCATATCTCCATACTGTGACCTATTTTGAAGGAGGTAAACAAACGAAAATTACGTCTCTATTACGCCATAAATTACTTGAATAATATCCACCTGATCTGACCGCGGGAGTCCACACGTTACTGGACAGTCCCATGAGCCTGACTTCAGCGCCCGTACCCGTAGCTGCGGCCACCTCTAGAACCATAGCCACTACGGATACTGACTGTTGAACTTCCTCCTCCGTATCCACCATATCCACCTCCGTAGCCATATCCTCCAATACCAAATCCTCCAAATCCACCGCCGATACCACCATAACCACCGTAGCCGCCGCGAGATCCACCGTAGCTATTGCCATATCCACCACCATTTCCACTGTAGCTGCCACCATAACCACCGTAGCTACCACCATATCCGCCATAGCCGCCTCGAGATCCTCCATAGCCGCCTCGAGATCCTCCATAGCCGCCTCGAGATCCACCATAACCGCCACCATAACCGCCACCATAGCCGCTACCATAGCCGCCACCATAGCCGCTTCCATAGCCGCCACCATAGCCGCCACCATGGCCGCCATAGCCATAGACTCCCATACGACGGACAGTATAACTTGTACCGGAGGCTGAAGCTTTTGGATTGGCTAAGACAGTCACCATGAGGCCAGCCATCACCACCACCATCACCACCATCATCACTATCTGTAAACACAAGACAACTGTGTAAAAATAACTTACACACACTCAACAATAATTTACACACACTCAACAGTAACTTACACACACTCAACAGTAACTTACACACACTCAACAGTAACTTACACACACTCAACAGTAACTTACACACACTCAACAGTAACTTACACACACTCATCAGTAACTTACACTCACTCAATAGTAACTTACAAACACTCAACAATAACAAGAATGTGAAATGAAAAGATAATCTTGCTGGGCTCAATTCATTACCAGCTGTGGCTATAGACTTAACACATCATAACCACCAGCTGTTCCCTACACCTCCTCCCCCCCTTCAACATCACCATCATACATACGGATTTACAGAACATCTTGACGCTCTAGTAAGTCGTTCTTTCCACAAGAGAGTCACAGAAGACAATGTCCACCATCACTCCTCGTCACACCTTATATAACAGCACCTCGGTATAGTTAATTACTACCTGTGACTTAACCACTAATAACTAACCTCCATACACCTGGTTGTGACACCTGTGTGAACTTTAAAACGAGGTGAAGATTTTGGTCTGTTACTCCCTGTGTGATAAACGGAGCGTGGAATAAACACGGTGAAATATTATGTTATAAATCGTTATATGAGCGTGTGTGTGTGTGACACACACACACACACACACACACACACACACACACACAGTACAGTATCAACACCTCACAGCCATAAGCAGCTCCCAGAGTCAGGTGGAAACCAATTACTTAACAACACTACCATCGTAGCCTTTCTCAACTCTATGATAAAAACACATCAAAAACTTGTTATTGCAACTACTAAGGCGGTCACTTGTAAGTTATTAATATAATCATGTTTGTAATCTGTTTATAATGATTGTGTTTAAAATTCGTGTTTCATTATGTTGTCTCATGGAGTAAGTTACTATACAATGATAAAGGATTAGTGTTTATTTACTTGTTTATTGTGTTAATGATAATTTTTATATGAACAACAACAATAACACTAATGCTACTACTATTACTACTGCTACTACTACTACTACTACTACTACTACTACATTATATGGCCTCCAGCCTCCCCCAATAGCCACACCTTCGCCGCCATTTTATTACCTTAAAATTAACTATCCTGATACAGAAGTAGCTATCCTAGCTGTGTTGAGGCAAAGCAATGCAGACCTCAGCAGAGAGAAGGACAGTCGATATCTCATCCAGGCTGTAACATAACTTCTGGGCTGCTGCTTCCGTTCAGATAACACCTCCGCGAGTCTGGCGTAGAAGCATCTTGCACTTGGTCCCATCCCACCAGAGGTTGTGAACACTAGAGGAGTGAAGCTGCCTTGATCAACGTTCTGAATTCTCTCCCAGTAGGCCCTTATCTTGTCGTTCTCGTTCCTCCTGTGTGCAGCATCGAAAGCTAAGTTACGGTGACATGCGGCCATGGAATAACAAATCCTGATGTCGAAGAAGGCTCGCTGTCCCCGCGTCCAGAATCCTCGAGCACTTTCGTCAACTCGGGCTTCGTTGGATGTGTTTGGAGTCCTATGTTGGAAATTCTCACTGTCCAATGGAAGGAGGGTCGGTTCTACTGTGACATCACGACAGATTTCCTTCAACATATTTGCTGTGAGATCCCTTACTTCGTCATGCCTCATGCATATGAAGCCCCCTTTCTTGCATACCATGGTGTGATCGACGTCATAGGAAGAGCCACACACGCATTGGGAGGGCAAACCTTCTACTGGCCTACCGTTCCTTAGAGCAATGGCATCTACTACTACTATTCTTTTATAATGTGGCCTCCAGCCCCCCCCCAATAGCCACACCTTCGCCACCATTTATTGCATTAAAATTAAATATCCTAATACACAAGTAGCTACCCTAGCTGTGTTGAGTTAGTTGAGCCGCAGATCTATGCGGCATTCAGTGATTTGTGCCTCATAGTCAATATCTGTAACTGTTGTCGGCTTTGAGGTCGAAGCTCTCGTTCCCCTGAGGCAGAGCAAAGCCGACCTATTCTTTTTATTATGTGGCCTCCAGCAGCTCCCAACAGCCACACCTTCTCCACCACTTTATTACCCTAATATTATACATCTTATTACAAAAGTCAGTTAAGTCGCAGATCTATGCGGCCTTCAGTGACTGTTGCCTCAGAGTCAATATTCCGAGAGAGAGAGAAAGAGAGAGAGAGATAAAAATCATACCTGGCTCTCTACTTCACAAGCAGGTAAATCATTAAGACCATTAGCACTAAAAAAAATACAATTTAATTTCACAAAATTCCACAATATACTGTACCTCTGTTGGACAGGTAATTTGTATAATGTCGCTACCTGAGTAATATTTTTTTAGAAGCAATTTGTAGCTTTTTTGAGGTAATGCTTTAAAATCACAGGTATAGCATTTTGTTTATATGCGTAAGTCATGCGTATTGAACTTTCATACTTAAAATAATATAAAATTCTAACTGAACGCTTTTGGGTACTGTTTTAAGTCATGGGTAATGTCTTTTTTGTGTAATATCTTAAGTAACAGGTAATATTTTTATAAGTAATATTACAATTGACAGGTAATGTCGCTTTTGGCTAATAATTTAAGACAGGTAATATTTCATGCAACAGGTATTATCGCTTGCCTTAGGGTAATATTCTCAGTCACAGCTAATGTATATTTTGTGTAGTATTTGAAGTAAAAGGTAAAATTATCTTATAATCAGAAACGAAGCATAACGAACCACCACACCTTGAGTTATTTTGACACCTGTGTGCGCTGAGAAATTTTCCACCAGGTGCGGTGAACCAAACTTTTCCCAAACACTGACTGACCTTACACACTAGGAAGTTTTTCTCACTGTTCACCTCAGCATGTACTGGTTAGCTATTTACTTGTGGTTAACGCTCTTGTAACAGCTGAGTAGTGTACTGGTATATAAGGTAGTGCGGAAGGGAAGGTTGGCAGTGTGTGTTGAGACTTGCTGGTATAGAGTCAGCTGTAAGACATCGACATGATCTCGAAAGCCGTGAGTGAGATTGATGATGGATTGTGGGTGTGGTGAGACTAGCTGGTGATGGTGGTATATTGAGACCAATTGATCGTTATTAAGACCAGATGAATAATGTTTCATTGGTGATTTTGTTCTTCGCTAGAGACCTGAGACCTTGTTCAAAAGAGAGAAAACTGTCATCTGGATGTCATATGTTCAACCTGTGGCGGAGGTGTCAAGGTGAACAACATCTGTCATGAGGGAACATAATTTAACTCCTATAACACATTACTGATCTATTTCATGACTTTTAAGACGAAGATTTTTTTTTTGTGGTACTATGACCTTCATTTATCTGCAATATATTCAGTAAAAGTTCATGGTGACTAATCTTTTTTCTCAGGTATCTTTCCAGGAATGTAAACTTACTTTTTCTTCTTTAATTAAACATTTTTTTCTTTATTAAGCAAATCTAAATAACTGTACTTGCTTTGATATTAAGAAAAGAAATTATCTAAAATATAAACATCAGTAATAAAAGTCAAATTATTTAATCATCACACAAACATGTTTTTTGGGTACTGGACAAACTATTCCTTCCTTCAAATATCCACATTGATATTTTCTTTTATGGCGAATATTCAATCGTATAATCTTCTAAGTCTCTTATTCCTTGTTTCATATTCGCCTACAATTCGATTAAAAATTGTCATAAATATCTTAAAAATTTTGCAGGTCACATTCAGTATCTGTGTACTGTATCCGTAACATGGTTTGTTTGTGTGACGGACGCACGGACACACATACAGACAGACAGACAGACAGACAGATTTATTTGGCTCAGACTTTCACTAAGTATTAGATCACAACTCCTCATCACAACAATCACATATCATAATAACCATTTACAATTAATATATTAAAATTATCAATAAACGGTTATAATTATCTGTTGTATTAATTTAACAAACGAGCGACTTGGATGACGTCTATAAACTCTTGGTATATTCTTACATCTCTTTCCCTTGATATATTGATTATTACACTCTAGAATAACATGATAGTCATCCCCAATAACATTATAACCACATTTAATACAAATTATCTCTTCTCTTGGAGTATCTACCAGTTACATCGGGTAATCCTGTATTGTTAGCTCAAAGTTACACAAGATAGATCTGAAATTTTTTAGGTAACTTTATTATATATTCTTCAAACTTAGAAATAGTTTTATAAGTGACATAGCTGCTACATAATGGTGTACTATTCAGGTTAGTATACCACTCAGCAATCCATTGATCTTTTAATTTTCTTTCAACAGCATTTTTTAACCATATTGGATTATATTGGTTTGGCATTATCCATATTCCTGACATTCCTCAATTATTTAGTACATATCTAATTTGATTCAGCCATGGAGAAATAAATCTACCCTCCTATTTTGACTTACAAAGGCACTGATACATAATATAGCTCAGTTTGTTCGGTTTCTCATTTATTACAGATGGTTGTGGTGGTGGTGGTGTTGATGGCTGGACTCCTGGCGACAGTCCTGGCTAGTCCTGTCGCCACGCCCTCAGGAGGTGGAAGTTACGGCCACAGGAGGTCTGGTTACGGTGGATATGGTGGCGGCTATGGAGGATATGGTGGTTATGGTGGCGGCTATGGCGGAGGCTATGGAGGATATGGTGGATATGGTGGATATGGCGGTGGGTATGGTGGTTATGGTAGTGGCTATGGTGGATTCGGGCGCGGCTACGGTGGATATGGAGGAGGCTACGGTGGTGCCTATGGCGGCTACGGTGGTGGATATGGTGGTTACAGAAGCAGCTATGGTGGTGGTCATGGCCGTGGATATGGAGGATACGGAGGTGGATACGGATATGGCCGTTGAGGTCGTCATGGTCAAGGTGAATAAAACTTTGAACTGACAAACTCTCTCTCTCTCTCTCTCTCTCTCTGATAATTAATTTCCATATATTACATTAAAAAACATACCATTAGACTCATAAACAACACACAGACACACTGATCCGTCCAGGCACAAAATATACTTCTAGTTTCACCGTAAAATAAATATCAAACAAAAAAAGTTTCCATATTTTGAGTCACGTGTTTGTTTGTATATATTTGTTTAGTTGCAAAAAATTCAGGCAACAACTGGCAGAACCATCCACCCAATTATTTCCAGTATGATCGGAGGTTTATTTCTCACTTATTACTCTTAGATGTCAACGATAATTTACGCATTTAATCATCCAAATCATACCTAGTACATAATTTTCCTTCCCCAAATATAATGAAAGAGATGGTGTGGTAGATAATGATGGGAGACAGTTATTTGTATCACGTACTGAAGGGATCGTGTCGTAAGTAAGTTGGCACGAACGAATCTGATGACATAAGTGTTGAGAGCAATTTAGGGAGAAAGGTTGTATTTTGTATAATTTGTGCGTAGTTTGAAAAGGAAATGTGTATGTGTGTGTGTGTGTGTGTGTGTGTGTGTGTGTGTGTCGCTTTCGAGACTCAGGTGTGTAGAACAGGTAATTAACGATAATAATCCCACTGGCTAGAGGCACATTATATATATTTATATTGTTTTAATCATTCATGGTAATATAAAAGTGATATGTTTATTATTTGACTTTTACAGATCAGTGCTGGAGGCAAATTGACGACACCATGCAATATCTGTTTATAAATAATAAAGCAGAAATGAGATTATTACTTTTATTACCTTAATGAATGAACCACAGAAAGAAATAAAACGTAGTCTTTTTGCAGTTTCACTCCCAATTGGGTTTGAGCAATTTTGGGTCACCAGAAGTTATATCTCGCCTATTTCAACAGCCTTTTGTAATTCCACGTCCGTTGTAATTGGATAATAACCGAGATGGTAAATTCACGAAGGAAATTTACGTGAAATTGGAGTCACCGCGTGTCATCTGTTGGTTTACCAACTGCTGACTCGCTCGGTCTGAGTGTACTCTCACGCTCACAAACCCCCCAAAATTACAACATAAAGCTTCAACAAAGTTGCTTTCATTGGTACCAGATATTAAAATAAGTATTTTCTGTTTATTATGGCGGGGGTCTGGGGTGGAGCCTTTGGGTAGGAAGTTAATTAAGGTTAGGTCTGGTTCTATGGGGAGGGGGGGAGGTGATAACTGAAAAACGACTCATTTCCGACGGAAATGAAGGTCAAATTCGAATGAATCACACCAAATACCATTGGGAAAATTTAAATTTCTAGTCAAAACCTAATTGGTAATGAAACTGCAATTTTCCTGAAAAAGAAACCATCTTAGACCCATATGATGAAAGTGAAAGTGGGTACCATAGGCATAACTGCCCGTTTGGGACAGTGTGGATACAGCCCAAACGAAAAATCTGCAGTGGAGCCCCACAACAGGCAGACATGCTTACAGAGTCTGCATTAACTGACTGGCAGAACAACCTACAGTCTCGGATCAAAGCTGGTACCTCCCACAAGAAGAAAACGGCTGCACAGCACAAACTTCGCACTCTAAAGAGTGAATGGTTGAAAAATAAAGCATGTGAAACGCAACAACTTGCAGGTCAACACAAGATGCACGAATTTTTCAATTACACTAAAATTATTTTTGGCGTAGCCCCCGTCCGTTCATTTGACAGTAACTCGCTAATTAAACACGAAGAAGACATCCTTTAGCGCAGGGAAAGAGCACTACTACTCACTACTCGACTGAAACACCGATGTGGATGTCTTGATTATCCAGCAGGTCCCTCAGCACCCAGAGCTGACCCACCTCAGCTATCCTCCATCCCTGGATGAGGTAGCTACTGCCATCAAACAGATGAAAAATAACAAAGCCTCAGGGCCTGATGGAACCCCAGCCGAGGTGTATAAAGCAGGAGGACCTCTACTTACCAGCCGTCTCCACTCTCTCCTGGAGAATATATGGGAAAAATGAGGAAATCCCACAAGCTCTTAAAGACGCCTCCATCGTCAATATTTATAAGAACAAGGGAGACCGGTCAGACTGTGGCAACTACCGTGGGATCTCGCTGCTCTCCGTAGCAGGCAGATTTATCGCCCAAGTCTTCAAAAGCAGACTTCTTCCTGAGATGGAAAACTTCTTCCCAGATATGTACTGACACCAACTCTCTTTTCTATTTTCTTGGTTGCCTTCCTTACTCGTGCCAGTGCCAATTTAGCCGGCGGGGTGAACATAAAGTTCCGGATGAAGGGACTTTTCAACAAAAGACATCTCCAGGCAGGAGCAAAGGTGTCAGCAGCTTCCATTTCTGAACTGCAGTATGCAGACGACCTCACCCCTGTCGCTCACACTGAATGCGGCCTACAGGAGATCCTGCACACCTATGCAGATGCGTATGCACACTTTGGCATTGAGGTGAATGTATATAAGACTCAGATTCTCTTTCAACCTGCACCTAATTCAACCACACCTCCACCATCCATCCAGCTTAACGGTACTACCCTCTCTAATGTTACCCACTTTCATTATCTAGGCTTCCACCTGTCCACCACCGCGGACATCGATGAAGAGATTCAAAATCGGATCAGATGTGCATCTCAAGCCTTTGGCAGACTCTGTACCCGTGTCTCCAGCTGTAGGGAGCTGAAACTGTCCACAAAGTTACACGTATACCGAGGCCTTAGTACACAGTGAGTTGTGTCCAAACTGTTCCAAATGGGATTTCATTCCCACTCGACTCTCAATTCCTTTTTCTGGTAAGACTCACATTTACTTACATTGTTTAGTGTGTAAGACACACCTTCTCTTATTCTAATTATTGAGGTTAGGTTGGTTTATGATTTAGGTTCAGTTAGGTTAGGTTAATTTAGGATAGGTTAGGTTTTTCTCTTAATAAAAAAAATACTTCTCAGGTTAATATAAGAACAATAATTACTTCCTATTGTTTTATTGTGAAAAGTTTAGTCTGATGAACTCTTTAACTGATCTGTGAGAGAGTGAGAGAGAGAGAGAGAGGGGAAGTGGTATAAGAGTTACTTGTGGACAAAGACCTTTATTGAGTATATTACAGAGATGATAATATTACCTTAAGCTCTGATGATTGTTGTGTAGTGTAGAAACCGTCTTCTATACACGTGGTTAACGATCATAAATACTGAAGCACCATACATCATGTATAGTTTATACTTCTTTGCCTAATATAATATATAAATTAAGAATATTAAAACAAGATATATAACATTATCATTAGTGTTCTTATCATAACATCCTACTCGGAAATAATAACACTGGTAATCTTACTCAGCGGATTTAGTTATCGTACTCAATAACTCTCTAAGGGTTGACTCACCAGCACAGACATGACTCTATTTGCCGTAACCATATCCATGAGAGTAACCGCCTCCCGCCCCATGCCCCCCCGTAAGGTGGCCGACTGAATATACGCCACCGTGTCCTCCGTATAAACTTCCATAGCCGCTGCCGTAACCGTATCCACCGTAGCCTTGACCATGTCCACCATAGCCGTGACCATGTCCACCATAGCCATGACCATGTCCACCATAGCCATGACCATGTCCACTGTACCCGCTGCCATGTCCATAGTGTGAACCACCATGTCCACCGTGGCTGCTTCCATGTCCACTGTAGCCACTACCATGTCCGTAGTGTGAACCACCATGTCCACAGTGGCTGCATCCATATCCACTGTAGCCATTGCCATGTCCATAGTATGTACCACCATGTCCACCGTGGCTACTGCCTTGTCCACTGCTGCCACTTCCATGACCATAGTATCTACCTCCGTGTCCACCGTGGCTACTGCTTCGTCCACTGCTGCCACTTCCATGACCATAGTATCTACCTCCGTGTCCACCGTGTCCACCATACACTGAGGGTGAGGCGTCAGCGTGGGCCAGGGTGACCACCAGCAGGCCAGCCACCACCACCATCATCATCTTCATCTGTAACATCAAACTCAGGCTTAATGACGGGTCACACCACAACTTCCATCATATTAACGGAGTGGAAATATTTCTACTTCATACACATAATGTTTCGATATACTGTAGGCATAGGAAAATATACATAGAGACTACTGGTATCCCTCCATTAGGTAATTTATGCACATCACTACTACTGGCTTGTCTTAACACAGCATCACCACCAGCAACTGGTTTCAACACAGCATCAACTATAGCTAATCTCACTACCGCAACATAACCAGTCAGACTCTACACAGCAGCTGTTCCCTGACTCCCTCAATAACAGCGGCTGTATCACTCACAGTTTGGGAGATCATGTTGGCTCACTACAGGTGTCCTACTGCCAGTAAGTCACAGCAGACAATGTCCATCATCACTCCCCACCACACCTTATATACCGTCAACACACCTCAGTGTCCCTGGTCGTCACCACTAATGACTGACACACATGCAACTCTCAACATTTCGAATACATGCTTGTGTGATTTTAAGTTTTAATGATCATAGGAAAGTGACCTTGATAACAGTGGAAGCGTTGACCTGTGGTACACCTGATGTCGTGTGATCGTTAGTGTTCTTACCTGAGTATAATCAATATGTAAAATAATCCCATGGAGGCGGCCTGGAGAGAGTTGAAATTTTGGTGATAGTAATGTCTGAAAATGGAACTCAGAAGTATATGAATGTACAGATATAGAGTATAAATGTACATAATTTTTTCTTTCGTTTACCTGTATGTAATATTACTTTTATTATTAGGTGATGCTAAACGTAACATAAAAAAAACGTTTTAATAGATATCGTAGAATTAAAGCATGCAGATATTTTGGAGTACGTTATTATAACTACGTGAAATAACATAGAACAACAACTAAGCAAAGTATAGTAACACTTTCGCTGCATTTCCCACACTTGTCATTTTATTCTGGTTCCTGCCAGACGATTATATTTAGCTTAGGGTAACCTCCCGCGGCCAAATGGTTTATGTGTGTGTGTGTGTGTGTGTGTGTGTGTGTGTGTGTGTGTGTGTGTGTGTGTGTGTGTGTGTGTGTTTTCTACTTCAGAAATTTTATAATAATATGTGAGTCAATTGGGCAAATATTAATAACACCGATAATGTTACAATATAAACACGGTAACATTATTGAAAACGGAATGCCGTGCTGCTAGAAGACTGTTTGAGAGCTTTATGGGTTAGAATACCGTAAGACACCCATATTCATACTTACATAGGGCGGCAAACCTCAGGTTTGCCGGAGTCGCAGAAAAAGCCACTGGAACTGGGAGTTTTCCGAACGCAAAATTTCACGCCTGCTGAATGACCATTTTAAGCTTCCTGAAGTACGGTTTGACCGTGTTCAACGCGTCGGGAAACCCAACTCCTCCCGCCCCAGCGACATCATCACAAAATTCTTATTCCCCTCTGACCGTGACAATGTGTTTTATCAACGCAGTGAGCTGAAAGGCACCACTAGCTTCGTCAACGAGGATCTCTGCCCAGGTACGACTAAAGCCCGCCTACAGCAAATGGACCAGTTTAAAGAAGCCAGGACATAAGGGAAACACGTGACTTTCATTCATAAAACCCTTGTTGTGAGGGATCGGGCAAGTCGACACCCGTCCATTCACCAACTCGCTGTACCAACCCCCTCCCCACTGAGGGGGAAAGAGCCATTGTTGCTATCACCTGTTGAGTTCCCCCCCTCCCCATGCAGGCCAATTCGAGTGCTACACGTCTACCTTCTGTGGTGGAAACCAG